CATGGAAGTCCATCTCCATCTCCAGGCAGGCCACGGTTTCACTATTGCTGGGCCTCAGGGCTCTGGCAGGAGAGAGCCTAGAACGACAGTCTGATCCCGTGGTTTCAAAGGGGCCCAAGAACTATTTGCAGTCAAAACCAACCTTATGTAAAGATTTTTAGCTAAGAGTACTTTGCTGGAGGCCCAAAAGGATTTTTTGGCCTAAGGTCAAAGCCCTTCAGGGGCCCTGCTGAGTCCAGGTATTTGAGGACTCATGCCACCAGAGTGGGTGGCTGTTCCCCATGACACTCTGGTGGGGGACAGCCTCCTGGGGGAAGGGGCTGCTACTGCTGGGCTGGGGTGGCCCCCTCCTGGTCTGCCTACAGCCTCACCTGCCAGGAGCCTCAGCCTTCCACTTCCTGTTCAGCACCTGGGCCTGGGGCTGAAGGTTTCTTCCGAAGAGCTGCCTGGGGAAGGAGGGAAGGTGAGCTGCTGACTTTCCCCTTCTCATTAGCTTTTCTTTTGGCCGGGAAGGAGGAAAGGGAGAGGGAGGGAGGGGCGAAGGAGGGTGGGTGACAGCTGGCTTCCAGAGCTTCCTGGTCTCCAGCTGACTTTCCCTGCTGCATTCCTTGGCAGCCTTGGCAGGCAGGACGGAAATGCCCGTTGTGGAGATGCCACTGGGAATGTGCCATGCAACCCTCGGCTTCGGGCCCCATGGTTTCAATTCCAAGGAGCACCTTGACAAAGCTCCACTGCCATGTCCTCATAGGTGGATGGATACCTGGTCCTCATCTCCGCTCTTCTCTGGGGCCTCTAGTGCTCGCTCAGGCCCCAGCAACCCCATTTCCCATCTTTAGGGTCTGAGGCTCTGGGTGATGAAGCTCTTGAGAGGGCAGCTGAGGCTTCAACCAACCCCCTCGGCCAAGGTGTCAGGGGAAGCTCCTGCCAGCATCACTTGGGCTGCCATTTCTCCTCCCTCGAGGCCCCCTTGTGGTCTCTTCCACAGAACTGTACACGAGGACAGAGGACATTCTCTCCTCCCCAGGCTGGAGTTCTCACCAGGTAGCTTCAGCCACCACCCAGAAAGGGACAATCAAATTGCTGCCACTGAGCCTCGGTGGAAGGCGCTTTGCTTCCCCTCACCCTCCTCCTACGCATCCCGGGTCCTGTGTGTCAGAGGCAGCCACGGTGGGGCCCTTCCTGTCCCAGGAGACTCTGAGGAAAGGAGCATACCTAAGGGAGAGCAAAGGGGCGGCAAGTCTTGCAGCTCTGGCCGCCCTCACGCCCTCCTCGTCATGTGTCAACAGCAAAACCAGGCCGATGGCAGAGAATGGCAGGCTGCTGGGCAGTGAGCAGTACGGAGTGGTCTTTAGTTGGAGAAGTCCCCTGCTCCACCACGCGGTACCACCAGGACCTCCACCAAGGAATCAGAGGAGGAGGGGGAAGGTGATGCAAAGGTGAGCCACCGTGATGCACCGCAGGTTTCCTGCTGTGGCTTACATATTTTATAGTTGTGGTGGAAGGAAGCTTCCCAGCACACAGGACTAGGAGAGAGATAGGCTGTGTTTGTATAGCCTGAAATCACATGTGGGGCTCCCCCTTGTGAGGCTGCTTTGGTTCGAGTTCTTGGACTGGGCTCCCTCGGACCAGGCCCCCCATGTACAGTGGTATAGGTCAGTCACTGCCCAAGGGCAGCTGAGGTCAAGTAAGGGCCGAAATCTAGCCTGTACTGTGCTTGGCCAGCTGGCCGTCTGTGGGGCATGGCCCCATTGGAGGAATCCTATTTTCTGTTTTGAATGAAGGTACAACATGGGCTGGTTGCACCAACCCATAGACTTTCAGTTCTGTTTGGTCTTAAATCTGAGCCTTCTAGAAAAAAAAAAAATCTGAGCCTTCTCTGTCAAATGAGCAGGGCTTTGTGTGGACCCTGTGGCTCTAGGACACCCAACTACATGATAGTTGTCCACTGATAATTGCATTGTATTCAAATTCTGGGTGACTCAGAATGCAATTTCCATTGGAAGGAGAAGCTCACACATTGCTGCCTCTACTCGCAAGGCCCTAGCAGCTTCCATGAACCACATTAAACTGCTCTCTAGGATCTCATGTAAAAGGGGCCATCTCTGGCCTTCAACAGATAATCCCTCCGTGTCATAATACATCTTAAAACTCGGAAAGAACAATCTGAGTTCTCCAAAGGTTTCTCTTTTACCAAGAAAAGAAAGGAAACTAGTATGAGAGAAGAGCTGACTGAGCTATCCAACCACTTGGATCAAGGCCTCTTGCCACCAAAGAGTCCTAAATGGCTGCTGGCCCACATCTTTGGTCCACAAACTCCCTAGCTTCGCTCCTTAATTTTTCCATTACTAGTCCCATGACATAGATGCCCTCTTAAACACCTTTCCCAGCAATGTGGAAATGCTATTCAACTTGTCTTTCATTGAGTTTTATAATTTGCAGTAGGTACTAGATGATATATTCGTATAGATCTTCCTTTAGAAAAACTTAGCACTTTATGTATAGTAGTATATCTAGAAAATGACTATCAGATTGCAAAACATGTTGGTTAGTTGGTTAATTCCATTTGATTAGAACACCGGGCTGTTTTAGACAAAGTTCTGGGGTTCCAACCTCAAGCGCCCTGAGAGTTGCCACTATTATATAAGCATAGACCATTTTTTCACACAGCCACATTTTGTGGGTATATGGTGCTGCCCTGAGCGCACAGGGAGTGTGGATGCCTCAATGCAGATCCATTTCCACCACTGGAACCAAAAGATTGGAATGAAACACCCATTAGAGTCTTCAAAAAAGAACAGCAGGGAATTTATAAACTTTTTTTGAAGTTTGGATCTTTTATCATATAGATGCTAAAAATCTCAGGAGCTTGGAAGATTTTTCTCCTTCAGCTAGTCCTGAAAACAACTCTGTAAGTTGTCCCACATGCACACTTGAGACGCTTGGAAGGTGTCTGGTATATTCTTGTTCCAAATGCTCTGTTAACAGACTTTGCAGAACCACTGACCCAACACTACTTATGGGATGAAGAGACATCATTAAAAGCTCTTCACAGAGTTTCACTGAGATCATTCTTGCCTTTCCTGATATCTACTTCTTGTGAAAAGCAGCCTGGAGATATTTGAACATCTTGTCTGGATACCAGGCTTCCTTCCTCTCTTACACTCTCAGCCCATGAGAACCTCCATAGGTCTGTGGGAGTTCCGCTCTCCTGCAGTTTGCACCCAGTGGTCCAAGTTGCCTACACTCTGGATTTATCAGCAAAATCCTTAAACATCCTCTACCCACAGCATGCAGGCCTCAAAAGCAATAGGGAAGGATGGGTTCCCACCACTCTCCATAGGGCTTCAGGGATGGAGAAACTCCCCTAGGCCTTGCCTCTGACAGCCTGAGGCACCTTCTTGGTGTGTGAAGCCACATAGTCATGACACGCCAGTCACAAAGACACACCAGGGACCAGTAGGCCTTCCATCCTGCAAGTTCTGATTTCTAATGAGGAAAGCCCATAGAGAGAGAAGACCAAAGAAGAAAAGGGATGAACACTCACACATATTTTAACTGCCACCTACTACAGCTATTGTGATGTTTACATCAAGCAAATTCGAAATAATATTTAAGTTCTAGCTATGACATATTGCTTTCAACCCAGAATTCTTAGCATTTACAATAAAAAAATGATATAAAGATACGGATCACATAGTAGTCAGGTTTACAAGGACTCTCCTCTTCAACCAAGGGGAAAGTCAGCCTCAGTGGGTTCCTGTCATTTGGGAAGGGAAGTGGGGCCGGTCCCAGGCAGGGGAGTCCTCTTCCCTGACTGCCATTTTGGTTTCTGCTGGATGGCATTAACAGGGCTGGCTGGGCCCCATGAACTCAGCAGCTCGTTTTTGATGAGTGCGTGAATGAGTGAGACGGAGTACTTCCTGTACACTAAGCCCTATGCTCAAATCTTGGAGAAAATGGCACGAAGAGGAGAGATGGGTCTGTGCTGTTCTACAGACCACAGCACAGAACTTCCACCATGTACCATGGGGAAGGTGTCCTCATTCAGTGCTCTCCCCTCTCACCACGGGGTCTCCTATATGCCACTGTGTTGCTCTCTACCACCCTCTAGGCTGGATGTGCATGAGAAACAAGCAGCTTCCCTACAAGAAGAGTGAATCTATAGCCCACCTTTACCCCTTGGGTCACAATCACGACCTGGGGACTTTGCTAAGGTCTTGCCCCTGGGCACACAGGGACAGTGCAGGGACTTGCTGTTCCTTCCACCCCACGGCTACTGCCCTCCTCTCCCTGTTACACTATGTGGATGAGGCTGACAGGGGCTGTAAGGGCCGGCGGAACTCATGCAGAGGCCACTAACACACACGCCAGCTAGACCGCATCGCCAGAACCCATGCAGCTCGGCCACCTCCTGCACACGCAAAAGCCGCCACGTTACAGCATCAGCTCGCAACCTGCACCTGCATGACTGCCAGAGTTCACAGAGGGGAATTTGGATTTTCTTTTTTTTTTTTTTAAGATGAGCTATGGTTCTGAGCCAATTTATTTCATGGTACAGTTCGATGGCCTTCTCCCTGAGCTGCTGCAGAAGATGCACAAGCTGTGCAGCCCCAAGGGCAGTGGGGTACTTCCTCCTCAAAGCCCCGAACAGAAGATCAAGTGCGGGGGGGCCCTGGGGCTGGGCAGCTGTATATGCACCTTCTGCAGAGGGAGCCGCTCGGGTTTTGCAAACCCGTCCCTAGAAGAGAAGCTGCAGACGCTCGCAAAAGAAAAAGGGTGTGTTGAGTGGGGGGAAAGCACTGGACTCCCTCCCACCCCGAAGGAAACAACAACCAACACCAAAAAAAAAAAAAAGAAAAAAAAAGAAAAAGAAAAGAAAGAAAGAAAGAAAGAAAGAAAGAAAGAAAGAAAGAAAGAAAGAAAAAGAAAAAAAGGTGGAAGAAACAAACAAACAAAAACCCCAGAAGAAACGTTGAGGGAAGAAAACCAGCTGAACTTACCACACTGCGAGTGAACTTTTCTAAGGAAGTTCTACGACCTGGCTCACTTTCTGGCTTTAGGGGAAAAAAAAAAAAGGTAGGGAGAAAAATACAGAAAAAAAACCTCTTCAGCTTACATGTGGTTTCCAAACAGCAGCAGCGGCAGCTAATGAACAAAAACAACAGCAAAACAGGGCGGAAAAACGGGGAAAAGAGAAGCAGCCAGCGCTGTACGTGAGTCAGGGGGAGAGACAGCCAACAGAAGCCCGCCAGGAGTGGTGCCGCCTCCTCCGAGCAGCTAGCAGAGAGGGGTGTCTGCTTCTAGAGCGGCCAGGATCGTGGGGGGCTCAGGGTCGAGGTCCCCGGGCCTTTGCATGGGGCCTCCCGTGGGTGGCAGTTTGGAGCAGCCTGCTCCCTGCTTCCCGCTGGCCGTGTGGGCCGCTGGAGCCCCTGGTTTGGGTCCCTGAGACCGGGGGCATTCACCTGGGGGGCCTTAGAGTGGGACCCCAGCAAAGGCTACCACCTCTGAAGGCTGAGTATGTGTAGGGCATCCTGACGGGACATCAGGAGGTGGCTGTGGGCAAGGTGAGGTCATCAACTCTTCCCGGAGCCTGGGTTAGGAGTCTGAGATTCCTCCCACCCAGACGCAGCCAGAAAGTGTGCTAACTCCAGTGACTTCCCCCTGGCCCCCTACTGACTTTCATTCTGTGTTCCCAGAGCAAGGAGGGTCTACCTGCGTGTCCTTTGTGTTGACAAAGGGTCTTGGGCCTGAGAAGGAGTGTTTCGGACAGAAAACGCTCTCTCGGGTGCAGGCAGGTGACCACTTCCAAGGTTCACACAGGACAGGCTCCAGGAGGCGCAGACACCTCTGTGGAGAACTCTTAGCTAAGGAGCCCCTGCCAGGGCAAGAAGAGGCAAAGCCCTTGAATCCTTTCCCCAGGCCTCATCGCTCCCTACCACAGGGAGGCTGTGGTGTGCACCTGACCCTGTCTCTAAGTTTCCTGCTTTCCCAAGACCTTTGGGAGAGAACTACATCCCAAACACTGGCTGGTTTATCCTAGAGCCCCATTTCAGCATCCTGACACTGGGAAATCTGGAGAGTATAATCACTCACATGGACACAGACACACACGTCCAGCAAAAATGGAACTGGAGAGCTGAAGACACAGCCAGGTGCCTGTGGGTCTGCAGTGTGCTGGAAGCAGAGGGGCAGGAAAGGGCAGCCACCTGTCTGTGCAGACAAGGTCGGAGGGCTTCTCAGATGGCAGTCACGACCCTCACCCATCAGCTGGCTGCCAGGAGACAGGATGTTGCAGAAGGAAAACACAACACACACACACACACACACACACACACACACAACACACCACAGCAGAGCCAGGCTGGTCTTTCTCCTCACACGAGGAGCCGAAGGTTACCACACCAAGTCCCGGCTCTGGGGACGGCAGGACCCAGCTTCAGTCCCATGCGAGGCCCAGGTGGCACGCACTTGGCTTGGGTCGGGCTGGTCCTGGTCCCTGCAGCTAGCACAGTGTGCCTGTCCTTCTTGTCTCTGGCTACTGGGTTGCTGCTCACAAAGGGTCATGATTGACCTGACTCATTCGGGTTCCTGCCTTGCATGTGCTGGAGCAGCCCGCAAAATCCAGCACAGGCCCCTAGTTTGCCAGAACAACTAACTATCTTTAACAATATTAGGATAGAGGATGAACTAGGGATTGAAGGCTCGGGAGGCTGTGGCTTCAGACTCCATCACAAGATGGAAAAGCTGAAAAGTGAGGCCGATCCAGGCCCCCTCTTGTAGCTGGAGAATGTGACCCTCACATACCTTTATGACCTGGACATTTATATCGCACGGTAAGCCCATTTCTGAAATCAAGGTACTTCTAGGCCTACCTGAAAATGCCGAGTTACAAATCCAATCCACACCTGGAGACTCTCAGGGAGAAATGGAAGAAAAAGGAGGTTTTGTCACTGTTTTTGGAAACAATTAACCCTTGGGCATTGCAAGGGTGTTGGCATCTGCAAGAGTTTCCTGCCAAAGAACGTCTCTTCATTTGGGGGCTGGGAGGATAATTCTAACGAGTTTCACATGTAACATTTCACAGGCAAGCCATGGATCCCTTCCTCACGTGAGGGATCTCCTCTGAGAAGTTCTCCTCTTCTGGGATGACCTGCGGGCACAGGTGTGTATCAGCTCCACTCCCTGTGCCAGGGTGCGTTTCCCCTTTGTGTTCAGACTCTTACGGAGACTGAATGGCCTCCGGCTTCTCCTGGGTATGTAGATGGGTCCGGATAAGCCAGACTGCCAGAACCTTAGAACTTCTCCAAATTGTCATCGGTTCAGAGTCTCGAGGCACGAGAAATAGGAACATTCATTTTGACCTTCTCCCATGAGATCTGGGCTGGAGATACCAGAAGGGTCCATAACTTTTCTTGAAAAAATGAGCATCTGATGTTCCCCTCCATCAGAGGCCCTCTACCTACATCCTCCTTCAAGGGAGCTGGCAACAGGCCAGGCTTCACATTTTCCATCAAGCAGTGACACTTGATGGAAGGGGTGCAGGAAACTAATAAGTCTGGGCATTCTAGAAGTCCCTTTTCCTTGCTCAGACTATCAGGGATATTCTCAGGGCTACCTAAGGGCAGGAGAATAGGATATAAATGCTCTTGTAGACTCTAGAGTTAAATGGTACCAACCAGATACGCAGACAGGTCCTGGCACACGAGGTGGACAGTACACAGAGAGAAGGGTTGCGTGGCGGGCAGAGGCAGCCCCGACAGAGAGCATGTCGGTGGACCACCGCAAGCTTAGGGACTGGGCTTGGCGGGCTGAGAGGGGAGAAGAGGGGACGCACATATTCCTAAGTGGCACGGCACGGAAGTTGCGGCTTTGGGTGCAAGGAGAGCCACGCTTAACCACACGTGGGTCTCGGAGCACGATAGCTGGAAAGTGCAGAGGGTTTGCAGGCATACTGGAATCCCGAGCCTCCTCCCCTTTCTCAGACCTCAGGCCCCTCAAGGCTCTTCCTTCCCTCCTCCCAGGATTCCAGCTGCATTCTCCTGCTTCAGCTGCCCCTTGTCATCTACATGCTGAGGGTCCCTGGGCACCCCCATCCAGACGCCAAGGGCTGCAGGGGACTATGACTTGATTCCAAGGGAAGGAGGAATAAGAAGATAGGGTACAGTTATTTCATGGCTGTGGGGGCACCAGGGAAGGAACAACCCCAGGAGTGACTTCTGGGGCCAGATGGGGGCTTGTGGGGAGGGCCTGAAACCTGGAAGGTTTTCTACTCAGTGAGGGGGCTGGCCTATCCTTGCCTCATCCTCATCTCTGAGTTGGTCAGACTTTATTTAAAGTCTGTGGTAGGTAAGGGGACCAGACTTTCCAGTGAGGGGCTCTTTCTGGTTTCCTAAGGGATTCACTGGCATCACTGCCAGTCCTGAACCCTTGTGCTGAGCCACTCTGTGGCCTTCGTATTTGGTCATACTCCCTACTGTGGGCAGGACGTGCAGACCAAGGTAATGGGAACATGGAGCCAGGATGCCACCCCCTGGACCTTGGGGGTGCACTGGGGTGGTGATGTTTCTACTTGTCTTCCCTTGGAGTGGGAGCAGATGGAGAAGGGAAAGAAGAAAAGAGAAAAATAAAACCCAAGGGATGATATTCTCATTTTACACCAGCAGCAAGCAGCAGGCAAGGGTTAACAGTGCTAAGAAAGGCAGGCCTGCCCTTCCCAAAGATACCTTCTTCTTGGCCAGCAGCAAGTCCTGGTAAGCATTCGACCGGAGGAAGCGGGCATAGCTGTCACTCTTCATCAACTTGTAAATGTGTTCCTGAGAAGGAAGGAGGTGGGAAGACACAAGAAAGCACTGTCAACTGCTGCTAAGGAAGGGGAATCACAACCCAACCGGCCACTGTTTTAGGAAAGAAACAAACTGAGGTGTGCTTGCATGTGCCTAGAAACACTCGACAACAGTTTGTTTTGTTTTTTCCCCTCCCAGAAACTTCAAACAAAATATATTTTCTCTCTTAAAATGAAATCTCCTTGAGGATCATGTCCCAAAGGCTTTGTAATTGGGCCTTGGTGCCACGTTGAGATGCAAATATTGCTTAATGATTAAAGCCACAGGTACAGCAGTGAGAAGCGACAGACTACTGATAGACCCAACCACTTGGATGAATCTCAAGGGAGTGATGATGAGTGAAAGAGCCAATCCCCAGAGGTTACATACTGTATGATTCCATTTATGTAACATTCTTAAAATGACAAATTATAGAAACAGACAACAGATTAGTGGTTGCCAGGGGCTAAGGATGGGAGGAGGTAGGGAAGGGTGTGGTTATAAAAGACAATATGAAGGATTCTTGGGGTGATGGAGCTATATAGAACTAAACACACACATGAGTACAAGTAAAATTGGGAAATCTGATACACTCAGTGGGATGTATCAATGTCAATATTACAGTTATGATATCATACTATGGATTAATAGATGTTACCATTACAGGAAACTGGGGAACTGGTACATTTCTGTATTATGTCTTACAACTGTATGTGAATCTAGAAGTATCTCAAAATAAGAAGCTTCATTTAAAAAACCCTAACAACTCCATAGGCAATGATGCAAATAGGTCAGTTGTGCATGTTAGGGCCACCATCCTATCCTGGAAGGGTGCCCTTGGCAACCATTTATGGGGCATGTGAGCAAATATAACAGACCTAAGGCTTACATCCAGGAGAGGCAGATGCTGTGGCGTGATGCCCTCTCTTCACCCGGGCTTCTAGAGGCATTTGTATTCTGGCCTTGGTGATGAATTTCACCCTTGATTTCCAGCTAATTCCTATAGTCTGTGGGCCCTTCCTAACAGATCTGTCCTCAGCAAGGGCAGAGAAAGCCTGCTACCTTAAAAGAAGGAGTTTGTTGATTGAAAAAGCATTACTTATCAGTTGTGATGGAATGAATGTAGCTCAGCTATACAGGAAAGCCTGTGTTAAGAGGGATGGTAGGCTTTCACTAGGGAGGGTGGGATTGTTGGCAGAGGCTGGCCTGGTAGAGGAAGCATCTTCCCTTATATATACTCATTGTTCATCCCATGAAACTGGACCTGGGCCCGAGGCTCAGGGGAATGAAGAGTGGGTTGGTGAGGAGAGAGTGCTCAGTTGAGAGGCAGGACTGGTCATTAAGGACCTCTTCCCAGGGTATTCACTTTCCAGGAGAGGGTAAAGGAAGGGAAGCTTCCTCTCAGCCAGGGGACACATTTTATTTTTTTTATTAAGGATTTTATTTATTTATTCATGAGAGACACAGAGAGAGGCGGAGACACAGGCAGAGGGAGAAGCTCCATAGGGAGCCCGATGTGGGACTCGATCCTGGAACTCCAGGATCATGTCCTGAGTTGAAGGCAGATGCTCAACCGCTGAGCTACCCAGGCATCCCCGGGGGGTACACTTTAGAGATACCTGGCCAAGCTGCTGTCACACCCCAGAGGAACCTGGAACAATGGCAAGGGCTTTCTGGGAGCCTCTCCCTTTCCACCTCAAAAGAAAGTGAGAGCAAAAAGCAAGCAAGTCCTTGGCCACGTGTGGACCCTTCTCCAAATCATCTTCAGTTTGGGCACCAGTGTCATTCTTCCTGTGATGCCCCCATATTTATAAAGGCAGGATGCAAGCTGCTTAATGGGATGGCCTACTGCAAGGAGCCAAGCAAAATTCAACAGTGAGTGGCTTGGATATGAACTGACTTTGATAATCCAGACATGGTGCATTTAATAAACCTAGTGAGAACACGCTTCACTTAGTGTTTTCCTGCAAGTTTCAGACAAAAATTGAGCCCATTTTAGTTTAAGTTCCTTAAGGGTAGGAACAGTATGTCTTTATTTCTTATATATGTGCAGTGTCCAGCACAGGTTTGACATCGGTGACATTGTTTCCAGGTTCACTGGAGTGCTTGTGTGTGTGTAACATCCAGCAAGTTTATAGGCTCCATGCTTGTTGTTTATGCTCACCAGTTCCTGCCCTCTGCGTGGAAGGGGAGTGGGGCTCACACTCAGCTTGAAGGAATCCTGAGCATCTTGGGTCATCTCTAATGGCCTCAGAGCCTAGGCTGAGGCACTGCAGTCTTTGTTCTCACATGTTGTCTCTTTAAATTGTTCTACCATTAAATCTTAGGTACAAATGTTAATGACTCACTGTCTCTTTCTTGTCTTAGGCATCGCTTGTGTCTGGCTGACAGAGCCAGGTGGCTCCTGAGTTGTCTGGAGAGACCTGTCACTCAGACCTGAACCCTCTCCAAACCCCTCTTCAAGGTAACAGGTCCCTGCTTCTTATTTTGGCTTCTCAGAAGAATCTAAATCCCAGGTGTAGCTCTCAAAATACCCCCCTACAGGCTCAAGAGAAGTAAGGAGATCTCTCCCAGTCCAGCACTTCTGGCCTTGGCAACAAATTTCACCCCTGATCCAGCTAATTCCTCCAGCTTCACTGTGGGATGGAAAAGCCCAGTCCATTAAAAGAAAGAACTTGTCAATTTAAAAAGAGCAGGATAAAGCAGGTGTCTAAACATTTAGTCACAGGAATAGTCAGCAAATATTTAATGAGCATCTACTAGGTACAGGCACTCTGTCAGGCATTGAGGTGACAGCCTGAATAAGACTAGGTCCCTGCTGTCGTAAAGCTTAGATGCTATGAGGCAAGATTGATGCACAAAGTGACAGACTATGACTCCCAAAGCAGTCTCAGGTCCCAGCCGCTAGTGAATTTTGTGTGGCTCCTTGCAGTGGGCTTCTCCCATCAGCAAGAGAGTAAATCTGCAACTTTTGTAGATCTGGGGGTATGTTTGAGCTAAGGGCTCCAATGACAAAGTGCCAGCACAGGGAGCAGGGAATGGGTACATATGGGATGACCTACCCAGCTAGAGTAGCGTATGTCCCCACTTATCCCTGCCCGGGCCTCCCTTTCTCACAGTCCGGAGATCCATGACTGTCCCCTACCCTCCTCTGCTCCACTGAGCCAAGAAGTGGGGCCTTTGATATACCCGGTTATGGAACACTGGTCCTTCCTCCTTGCCAGCTTGTGTCTAAGAAGCACAAAGACAGTAAACAGGGGGTGGGTGAACAGAGCACTGAGGTTTTTCTGGGAATGAGAATTAAGATAGGACTCAGGGTCTTTGGCCAGTTCCCAAATGCAATGAGTTTATCACTGCCAGGGACAGCAAGTGTACAAAGCTTTTGGCAGTGACCTCTACTGATTTATGGGAGGTTCTGGTTTGTTTCCCCTGCTCTGAAGACAACCAGCTTTAAGGGAAATGTATATCCAGAATCTGCAAAGAGCCACTGGCAAAACCAGGAAGCCCCCACTGATGGAATTCCTCTGGGGCTAGAGAAAAAGAGGTTTGATCTTCTCTTTTCTTCTTTGCCTTTTCTTGTCTTGTCTTATCTTCCCTTCCCATCCTCTCCTTCTTCCCTTCTCTCTTTTCTTTCCTTCCCTCCATCTTTATCTCTTTCCTCACTCCTTCCTTCCCTCCCTTCCTCCCTCCTCCTCCTTATTTCTTCTCCCCCTCAGAAAGGGGTAGGTGAGTGGACTACACATAGTTCACAAGCAGAACTAGCCTTCCTGATGTATGGGAAGGGTGCCTTCCTACTCCAGGGAGAATGAGGATGGTTCTCCATGGGGCTGAGCAACTGATGCTTTGGGGCCCTAAAGCATACTGAACATCTTCGCCACAATTCTCAGTGTGGGGAAGGAATCAACCCCTGTAGTGTCTGACAATTATAGTACAGAGATGTCATCCTGATGAGACACTCCACCCTCATTTCCCTTTTTGGACCCAGGCCTGGGATGGGGAGCTCGGCTCGCCTGGGATGCTAAGGCAGAAACAAAAACAACTGGAATCGGTAGGGCGCGAGACATATGTGGGCGCTGGAAGGAGCAAGCAGTGCAAGCTGTCTCAAAACCACACCTGCTTCAAATCAATGTTTTGCTGTGATAGTCCTTGTTTGGAAATCTCCCTTATTTTTAGGCAAAACACAGTGACCCTCACAAGCACTGGAGAAGGTAATACGGCCAATGCCTGAAGCCTGGGGCCCAAGCATGCTGGAGCAGTCGAATTACTTAAGAGCACCCTCATGTCCTCCTCTTTGCTATGGGTCCCTAAAACAGCTATGGTCTCATTTCCCAGCTTTCGAACATCCTCCTAGAGTGGGAAACCACTCAGCTGGAGCATTGCAACAGCTGCCAAGAGCCCTTCTTGTGATTTTCAAGTGTCCTATTTTTCTTTTTGTAGAGATATGTGCCTCATTTCTGCCCTCCACATCTAGACTTCCTGGAACAACATCTTAGGCTTTGGGGACTGCTGGGTCCATCGCAATCCCTTGGAGGAAGATGAGGTTGTGGGGCAGAATGTGATGTTGCTGGGCAGAGTGAGGGAAGCAAGACTGGACTGGGAGCCATAGGCTCTGATTCAGGTCCTGGCCCTGCCCCTTTCTGGCCCTATCCATCACACAACTAAATGAGGAAATAGAAGTGAAAGCACTGTAAAAACCATACATGTGTAAAGTAATAATAATAATTGGCCTCCATGTTGTGACTGTCCTTGCTAGAATGACATGGGGGTGAGCCCAAAGACTCCAAGAGCCCTGAGGTAGTAGAAAAAGTGAAGCAGAGCCCGGTTACATTCTTTTAGTTGCTATTGTTTGCTCTGAATCTGTGCTTAGGTTTAAACAACCACTTTATAGATGAGAATACTGAAACTCTGAAAGGTTAAGTGACTGGTCACTTAACAAGTACAAGAGCTAGGATTTGAACCCAGAACCGTGTGACCCCAAAGCTCACACTCTC